AAAAAAAAAAAAACAGTCTCAAACGATGTTCATCAACACGATTTATTGTTAAAAACAACTCTGCGGGATATAAAACAATACCGCTGCAAAAGGGGATTTTTTTTTTTTTATGCGTACCCTTGGCCAACCCAAGGGGGTAAAAATGCGAAGGCTTTAAGGGAAAAAAAAGTGGGATGCAGAAAATGAAATGCTCGCTCCCTTGTTTTCCTTTCCCACTGTCACTCGTACGCATCCTGGATGGTCAGCGATAAGAAGCGACTCTCCTGGCCAGCGGCGAGAGGGTGTTTATGTGTATGTGAGCAGGTATATAACATCACTGTACATATATATATGTATAATATATATATATGTATATAAAGAGTAGCATACGTCCCTAGCGGTGCTGAAGAAATAATTGTACCAGAGAAAGGACATTCCTTTGCTCACACGCAACGTCATTGCGTAGAGCCACGGAAAAAAGGCGTTGTTTTTTTTCGCCCCCCCCCCCTTGCGTGCAACAAAATGTGGCCCGTTGTCATCCTCCTCTTCGGGGGAGGCATCCTGTTCGCCAAGAAAGGAATGAACTACTTGAAAAATCAGAAAATAAATCCCAGCAGTACAAATTTTTTTCCCTCCTCTGGTTTTAACAGAGGCTTAGGGAGCCTTTTTTTAAAAAATGACATGAGGGGATTTGAAAGAAATATGTCCAAGTCGGAGGCGTACAAAATATTGAATATCAACCCTACTACCAATCGGGAACGAATTAGGGAAGTCCACAAACAGCTGATGCTGAAAAATCACCCGGACAACGGGGGTAAGGCGGTAAAGCGGCAAAGCGGCGCAACCCAGGCGTTGTTGCTCACGTGCTAATTGGTGGTTTGGCTGTCTGAAAAAAAAAAAAGTGCTCCATATGTGCATTGCCAACTATCCTTTTCCATTGGTGTATCGTTTGTGAGCAGAGGAATCACGTGTATTGTTTCAACTGCGTGTAGGTATGTACGTCTACACATAATTACGCACACATGCATTTTTTTTTTTTTTTTTTTTTTTTTGTTTTTCCCTGGTTGCCTTTCCAACCTGCAGGCTCCACCTACATTGCGGCCAAAGTCAACGAAGCGAAGGACGTGTTGCTAAAGTAGCGCTGGGGGGGAGAACGCATGGCGCGCAGCCCTCAAGATATTCAAGTGATTCACACAAGTCAGGATATGTTCCCCACCGGGGGAGAAGCCACTGAAGGATTCATGCACAGCCTTTAATGTGAAGATTTGCTTACCCGTTGCTTCCCCTCCAGGGTGCACCTTTTTATTAGCTTGCTCTTTTTTTCTTTTTTTTTTTTTTTTTTCCTTTTGAACATGTTTTTCTTCGCGGCGCGCAAGAAGACACGAATGGGTGGGGGAAGGATGGAGCAAGGATTCTACACTAACGGAGTGTCATATGGTAGATGCACCCTTCCCCTTCCCATATGTGGAAGTAGCCGCCCTAGTAGGACAGTGGAAAACCCAAAGGAGTTTTTTTGATGTACTGCTAATTTTGGTGGGGATGAAATATGTATAAAAAAAAAAAAAAAAAAAAAAAATTCTCTGCTTGATGGAAAATATGTAGAGTGTCCATATCTCTTCCCCGTCTAACATTCCATTTTGCGAGAATTTTTTTTGTTTTTTTTTTGTTTTTTTTTTTTTTCTTACCACTTACCGCGATTCGTTTGAAACTTATTTGTAATTCTTTAATGCTTTAATGCTTTTCCGCTAGCATTTTTTTTTGTGTGTGTGTCGCCCGCTGGGCCAATGGTTTTTTTTTATCATCGGTGTGAATGCCAGCTGAGTAGGAACAGTTTGGTTATGAACCGGCCTATGACAGTCGGGGTGAAAGTAAATTGCTACCTGTTTGTGAAAGGCACCCCGCATGATGCACGGGCTGTACTCGAAAAATCTGACCGAAGAGAACATTGATGAGGTGATTCAGTCCGAGAGAGAGATCAACGCAAAACTGACACTTGAAAATGAAAAGATAAAGGGAAGAAATGGAGAGATACAACAGCGACTGTTGAGTTTCATTCAGGACAACTTTATCTTTGAAAGTAACTCAACGGAGGATGTGAAAAAGTACAATGGTGTCTTACTCGCCCTGATTGATTATATGGATCGTCTGAAAATGGTGGACTCGTACATGCGCAAGGAGACGGATGGACTCCTGGAGGAGTTTTTCCGTTGCATTAAGGAGGCCATTGTAAAGGAGAGCAATTTGTGGTAGGTTGCATGGCCCAAATTTTAGGGTTATTCATTTGGTGACTTCCTCCTCAAATTGTGTTGCTTGATGAGGCAAATGAGATAGGCGATTGGGCACTGCACACATATAGGAGCTGTTTTAGCGTCGCACGCAACACACACATGCATACATGCACACATATATACGTGTAAAAACGATCGTTGTTACTCTCCTGAAGCTACCTCATCAGGGAAGACATGAATCAGCTGAAAATCAGCGGACAGGAAGAGGCGATTCGGAAGCACGTGCTAGCGTTGAGGAAGTTGTATGAGCATAACAGTGTGCTCCGTGCACAAGTCTCGCTCTTCAACTCATTTAAACTGAAGGACGAAAATTTAATACACGTAGATTTCGAGCAGTTGCAAATCAGGTACAAGAATTTGAAAAGCAAGGGGAGTTGTCTGGAGAAAAAAATACAAAACCTGAATCAAAAAATAAAACGATCCACGGAGGTAAGAGGGCGCTGGGGGTGTACCAAGTTTGAAGTACAAGCGTGAATAAATTTAACCATGCCATGTCGCATGGCATACCCTGTTTTTTTTCGCCCCCCTTCTGTGACCCGTAGAAAAAGCTGCACTACGACGAAAAAAAACTCTACCTGGAAAAGATGCTGGAGGACAAGCAGGTGGCGCTGGAAGAATCGCAACGTGCCATATGTACAAAAAAAAAACTTGTGAATGAACTGAAAAGGAAAAAAGAAGAATCTATTAAAAAGTACAGCGAGGTGGAAACAAGCGTCATTACCAAAAATGTATTCGAAGAATTTCAGGAGAAAAAAATACAGTTGGACAGATTGAAGGAAAAGGTAGGTTTTGCAAATAGAAGTGAAAATGTGTGGAATGTAATTTCTCCTCCAAGAAGCTATGCACTGTCGGAGATTACTTCTGAATGGGGGAGCTTCAACTAGGAGCCTATTCATCACTCCACCTTTTTTTCGTTCGCGCACCGCAGCTGGAAGAGGTGAAGGAAACGTATGAGCGCTTGCAAAAGGCTCACGAGGAGTAAAATGGCCAGCAGCAGGACACATACACGCCACACATATATGTTCCAGAGAAGCGGAAAAGAACATCTCCGCTTGCAATGCAAAAGGACATGCCTCGATCGTTTCGCTTCACCGTTCTTCGCCTTTTCGCTAAGCACCCCATCTGTTGGACACCCTTACTTATTGTGCCAATTCTCCATTCCCGTTTTAAGGGCAATTGAGAGAGTTAAAATTTAAAACAAAGTTCTTTTTACACGAAAAAAAAAAAAAATAAATAAATAAATAAAAAAGGCCAAACAAATAGTGTGCGTATGTATGCACAACGTGTTGCGTAGGAACACGCAAGTTGTTGTTCTCATTGGAACGAACAATGTCGTGGTGTTCCAATTTTTTTTTTTTTTTCTTTTTTGTACTTCATTTAAAAATTCAAATTTTTTTGAAACCACGCATGATTCTTGAGGTCACTAAAGCAGTGTCTTCTTTTCGAGCACAGCTGAGCAGGGGAAGGAATAATTTATCGTCGGTGGGGCGGCAACATAAAAGTGTACTCCGTAAAAGTATACACCGCAGTGTACACCGCAAAAGGGTAGACCTGCGTGGGATTTATGTCACCCCCTCATGGGATGGCTGCCTGCCATGGGGCCGGGCGCTCGCTCCGAGAGCCCTACTTCGTAACAAAAGTTCTTCAACTCGAAGGAAACAAAGTGCGGGAAGAAAAAGTCGGTGTTATATATCCGTTCGGTTATGTCTTCCTGTGGGGAGAAATCGATGGTAAAAAAAAAAAAAAAAAAAGGGTCAGCGTCTAACTGCTCTCGCGAAGGGGGAAGTTAGACAAAGATGACGCCCCGTTGGAAGTGTTCTTATGTTGGACTGGCATAGGTAGATAAACGCTACACACATGAACAGGTGAGATGAACCACCAGGGGGAGAATTTTGTCACTTACAAATTTGCTTGAATAATAGGTGTTGTATTTGGTACACATTTCATATATGAGGACGGCGAGGCAAAGGAAGTCAAACTGATAGTCCTTCTCGGCTGCGGAGATGGAGGGGTGCAGTTATTTGTGGCGTGGAAGCGGGTGGCCGCCTATTGTTGAGGGTGGCATTGTGTTGCCGCGTGTGGTGACGTGTGGCGGCGTGTGGCGGCGTGTGGCGGCGCTCCTTACTTGCATCCATGTTGGCAAAGTCAAAGTTGAAGACCTTAACGATTCCGTGCTTGTAGACGTCAAAGTACTTGTTCACGTTTTTTTTTCTTTCGTGTAGGATTTGCAGGAGCTCCTCCCGGGTGTTCTTCTGGAGGATGATTATGTTGGAGAGGAGGCCTGCGGTGGAGGAGCGTACAAGCGTAGCGGTGTAGAGGTGCACACGTGTGGCAGGTGCGACGAAGCCAGCGCTTGGCAACGTCCGCTTCCCTCCCCCCTTACCGTGAAAGAAGATAAAGTTGGCATGCATATACTCGAGCAGGTCCACAATTTGGTATGCGTAGGACGCGATGATGTTTTCCTCGAGGGGCGCACTTTGAGACTTCAAAACATTCCCATGCACATGCTCAAAGAGTAAATACAATTTGTTCTTATCAGCTGTTTTCCCTTCATAAGATAAAATGTTCATGTGCCTGAGTCTTTTGTGGAACAAAATATTATTGGCTACGGTATCATTGCTATCCCCCCTGTTCAGGTAAAACGAATCGACGATGCTCACAAGGAAGGAAGCCTTATCATGTCTCAATTTACACCTATATAATTTCCACAGGCCAAAATTACACACATGGTGATCTGAAATTACAAACTGCTGTGTGTCAATGGTTAAGTTGTCGTTGTAGTTCACCGTGTTGACGCAGAGGTTGGAGATGTCGCTGCTTTTGTTCTTCATTACAAAATCATTCATGCAAGTTTTTTTATCTGAGTTGTTGCTTATTCTTTCTAGCAGCATTGAAATGTTATTGCTGAGGGATATGTGTCTGTCCTTATTGTAAGCGAAGTTCCTAATTGGCCTGTCGCCCTCGGTGGGCAGCAAGCTCAGGTTGAGATTTTCCCGGCTCGCATACGTCTCATTCGGGTACTTCTCATGCGCGTATTTATCGTTTGACGCGTCTTCCTTCTCCCTGTTGAGGAAGGGATTTCCGCCAAGCAGTTTTCCACTTAGTAGTTCTCCCCCCATATAACCGTCCGCCGCGTCCCCGAGGCTATACCTGTTCATTCCACTTCTGTGGGCCACGCTGTCCTGGGCATTTTTCTCATTAGGGAAGTAGATCTGATCAGGGTAGCTACTAAGGTAGCTATTAAATTTGACGTTTCCACTTTTCAGCGTGCATTCCTTCGGTTCGTTTGTGTGGTGGAAAAGCTCACTCCTCCTGTGCAGCAAGTCCTTGCCATCACCGTATCTCTCGAAGGGAGTGAGTTCGGCCAGGCCGCCTAGATACGCGTTTTTCTCCCTAAACGGGGCTATGCTGTTCTTCAGCAGGTTGCCATTACCGCTGGGGGTGTTGTGCGGCTGGTTGGGGACATGCCCATGGTTGAATCTACCCAAGTGGTTGCTTGACACGTGGTTATTGCTACTCAGCTGGTTGTTCACGCCCTCGCCCAGCTTCGGTCTCCCCACAGCTTCGAGCGCCTTCAATTTTGTCTGGCCCATCCCCTCTGCGTTGGGCTGCTTCCCCAAGGGTTTAAAGGGGAGCGGGGGGAGTTGTTTGTGCAGTGGCTGCTTGGCGAAGCTGAAGTTGTGCGCACCGCTTGGATTGAAGGGTTTCTTATTTGTGTAGTTGGGTAGGGGGTTGTTCCCATCACGGCCCAGGGCATCCCTCGGGGTGTACCTCCCCATGGTGTTTAACAAATTGGAGTACCTGTTTTGTTGCTCGTTGAGAATTCCCAGAAAGGCCTTTGCGCCTGTGGTACCCACGTTATTGTGGTTTCCCCCCCAGTTGCCACCTGCATTAAAAACACCACTTTCACAATCTCTGTTTCCACTTTGCATGTTTTTCTTCGAATCGTTGTTGAAGAGAGTCATTAGGTTTGCTCCCTCAGTATCGTTCCCTACCTGGTTGAAATTTGTGGAAAAATTTACGTTTGAGGTTGGCACCATTACATTTGGGGTAGACTCATACTTCCATGGGGGGTGATTAATTGGTTTAAGAATATTCTCATTCATTTTGTTTTCGTCCTGTTCATTCTGCAAGTCCATGTAAGACTTTGTCCTTGTGAAGTGGTTGTACTTTGTGGTGATGGAAGTTTCGTTTTGTTGCTTCGTGAAGTTGTGCAACCCTCCTCCTATCCAATGCTGGTTCGAAGTAACACTGGTGGGATGGTCATTCATCGTGTTCGTCTTAAGAGTAGAATGGTAATTGGTATGTAAAAGGTTGGTAGGTTTGCTTAGCATCCTTTGTGGGTTGTAGTGTGAATTATTATTTATGGGTTCCTTGGTGGGTTCATCACGGATGGGTACTTTCCCTGTTGGACAGTTGGCTTCACCAAAATTGGTGTAGTTTTTCTTTTCACTGAGGAATTGGAAGTTGGACTTGGGAAATAAATTATCGTTATCGTTCTTGTTTATGCAGATGGCTCCTACATGTTCGTCTTCTCGGCGGTGTTCGGTGTGATTCCTCATGTTATCGCCTTCTCTGAAGACGTCCCGGTTGTTACCCGATAGGGCGTACTGGCGGGTCCTTAACGTTGGATCGTCGTAGGGCTCAAACAGAGTCCTCGCACTTTTGTCACAGTAGGGGCGACGGATAAAGTCTTTATCATCCTTATAGGTTAAGTTTTTATTTTGCCGAGTGGATCCATCAAGCTGGGCATTCCTGTCTCGGTCTAACATGTGCATATGAGAAGGACCCTCATTCCTCACAAAGGGGGACTTATTAATTTCATTTAGGAGACCATTTCTCTTGTCCGATTGGAAAATATTTTCCATGTTGAAAAGGTTGTTGCTCGGTTTTGTAACATCTTCCTGGAGGTACCTGTTCGTCTGTTTCGTCGCTTCGTTTATTGGGTTCTTATTGAAAAGAGATCCCTCCTCGTAATTGTCGCCACTCTTCGCGTGCGTTTTGAAAATGTTCATGCTATTAATGTTTGAGAAGGCGTCTCCTCCATGTTGCGTAGCGACACGGTAACGAATATCCGACTCGTTCCTTCCACCCCCTTCGGACGGTCTAAACACATTTTCACTGCCATGGTGAGTGTTATTTTCGAACTTCTTGAGGTAGTCCAACTGGTCGATTTGTCTTCCAAAAGTTTTTTCACCCAGATAGTTAGAAGTCCTGTTCTCCACCAAGTCTATCAACGGAGGAGGCTTATTCTCCTGGTTGTGGTGTAAGTCCGTCATGGTGTGAAGTCTCGTGTTGTTTGTAAATGCACCGCGGGGGGTGCCTCCTCTGTGCTTGAAGTTGTCGTCATACAGCTTTATACTGTTTTTATCTCTATCTCTTAATGCGTGGATGGAATTTCTATTTGGTTCTAATCTTGGGAATGGGTTCTGGGCGACCTCTCGCTCCGCGTTGTGCTGTTGGTAGCGGCTGTTCTCATCGTTGCGCCTCATGTCCTGTGGCTGCTTGTCCACTCCATATTTTTCTACTCCAAAGCGGTCCCCGCCGAAGCGATCCACTCCGAAGCGGTCCCCCCCGAACCTCTCTCCATAAAAATCTTCGTCAACGGGAACCACATCACTTTTGAAGTGGTGCCTGTTCATTATGCCGGGGGTCTCATTCAGCTTCTCGGGTGTATTAAAATCTTCGTACGCATTGTTGTGCGCACTTACCCTGTTTTGCAGGCCTTCCCCTAGTATGTCGTTCTGCCCCTGGTGTGCATGGTTCCCATTTGTCATGTGGTTCAAATCGGCAAGGGAACTCGTGTTGAGGTAATTATTGTCGTGTGCAGGAAGACTTTCGTACAGGTCGTCACTGAAGCTAAAATTGTACTTTGGGTTAGGGTTAGTTACGATTATGTTTTTCAATAGGTTGATTTTTTTTTCTCTTTTTTTTTCTTCCTCGTCCTTTTCTTTATTGCATAGGGAGGAGCAGTTGGGGTACAGCAGGGGGGCACTCCCCCCATTTGCGACATTGCCCACATTGTTACCGTTGCTGGGGTTAGCAGCGTTAGCAGCGTTAGCGGCGTTGGCATGGTTAGAAGCGTTGGCGGCCTTGGAAAGGTAGCCCCCGTTTTGACTGAAGCCATACAACACATTATGCTGGGGAGTGTAATTGGGGCTAGCATTCGCGTGGTTGCCAGTTCTGTCCTCACTCGGGAGGTAATTCCTCACATGTGCGTCGTTTATATACTTGTTGGCTCCTTTGAAGACTTCCCCCCCTGTGACTTGGTTTTTTGCGTGGCCCCAATTGAATTTGAAATTATCATCCTGGTTATCCTTCCCTGTGTACTTTTTAATAATGTCGTCAATGCCTGATGGTTTATGTTTACCAAACATGGATGGGTTCAGTTGATTGCCTATGTGATTCTCGTGATAGTTGCCTCCTCCTTCATATTTTTCATAGTTGATATTATCCCTGTTGGGGAAGGGACGTACATTCATGTCTTTCCACTGGCTCGAATTTTTCTTAAAGTTATTATAGAGTGCGTTCATGTTAAATTGTGTTCCATAAGGAGGAGAATTTGTCTTCCCTACGTTGTCATATAGGTCAGCTTTGTTTTTTTGATTGGCCCCTACTGGTGAAGAGATGGGAGGTGCAATCGGAGGAGCTGTGTTTCCGTAAGGATAACTGTTGGGGGGTTCCCATTTGTTCTTGAGCTGGTCATATTTATCTTCTAACATTTGGTTGTTATGTTTGTACTGATGAGGGTGAAGGGTACCTGGGTTCATATTTATATTTGGACTTTGCGTCTCCAGGTTGTTGCTAACCCTATTTGGGGTTAGGAAGCCCATATCATTATTGAACATGTGGTGGTGGTAGGGCCCGGGTGCCCAATTGTCCCGGTTGACTCTGGCGTAGTCCTGGTGGGACCTTGCGTGGTCTGGATTCACATCGTCCTTTTTGAGTTGAAACATTCGATGATCTAGCACGTGGCCGTTAGGATGGCTTCCCATTTTGCCTCCTGAAATATTGCTTGCAGGATTTATGCTTGAACTGTAATTTTCATCATCCTCCACAATTTTAATATTGTTAAAATTGTAATTTCTAGGGTTCATATCACTGGCATGATTGTAGGTGAGGTTACTGTACCTGCCATTATATGCATCGTTATTAAGATGAAAAATTCCTTCGTTGTTTGTTTTTGCGTTCTTTTGTCCCATCTTTGGAGAATTATTTTCCCGTGAGTTATTTGCATTTAGGTAGGAGGAGTTGTGTTGAGGAAGATTTGTTCTTTTAAAATGGGATGTGTTTCCCCCTACGAGGTATCGCTGGCTATGCGTGTAATCCTCGAAAGGACGATTAAAGCGGTCGGCGCAGTGGGGGGGACGAATCTGATTAACTCCACTAACTTGTTCGCGCTCGACGTTGAAGTGGTTAGTGTACGTGTTGTCCACATGCTGCTGAGGCATATCTCCTCTTGTGCAAAAATACATTTTTATCTTTCACTCTCTCGCTTTCTTCATCCTTCCGAAAGGTGCGGGATGGACAATCAGGGGGGGGGGGGTTACTTTGCAAATGTGTGAACATGTGCAAGTGGGCACATGCGCAAGAGGGGGGTGGCGGTTAAAAAGACACATAAAAAAAGAATGAAAAGAATGGAGTGGACATATGCAAATGGGGCGTTGCAGCAGGTGACTGCAAAATGGTAGCTGCCAAATGGGGTGACTGTCAAGACTCCATGGAAGACGTGGAAAGGCAAAATGGGAAAATGACCCAAATAAATAGAAGAGACAGAAAAATACACTTGGAGCGAGTACCAATCTGAGGAAGGGGAGGTTTTCCCCGTTTCATGTCGGTGGTGACGACTTTCAAAAATGAGCATACATGTTACAGGTGTGTGTGTGTGTGTAACGCCAGAAGGGGATTCATTTGGGGACGGGGGAGATTAAGAAGGTATGTGTAAATAAATAGGTAGGAAGACATATATGTGTACGTTAAAAAGGAGCTTGTTGATTGGGGCGATTAAAAAATGGGTTTTCCATTCTGCCTCATTTGAGCCTGGTCCGCCTGCGTGTTGTGCGTCTAAGTTGCGCACGCGTGTGTGAGCACAGAGAGGTAGACGCATGCACAGGTGAGTGAATATGCTCCAGATTTGCCTCAGATAAAAGGGAAGTTAAGCAGTTACACATGCAGGCATACAGGAAAATCTTCACATGCACACTTAGTGGGCCGCGGGTACGTAGGTGGACACACAGGAGCCCAGCGAATAAGGCACGCGAAGGGGCCGAAAGCCGGCCTTGGACGAGCAAATACAATTAAATCTCAAATAGGTCAGGAGGATCATAATAAAAGTGTGCGTCAAACTCAGGGCAAAGGAACATACGAGCTAGCAAGTGGAAGCCAGCAAGTCATTGTGTATGCGCCGTGGGTGATGTACATATATAGCTATTTCACCTGGAGAGCGTGGAAACGTATGTGAACATATTTTGTCACACAAAATTAAAGGGGAATAACGCACGCAAATGTATTCTTGCGAAGTGCTAAAAAAAAATTAAAAATTAGCAATACCAAACAAATATCCCTTTTTTTTTTTTTTTTTTTTTTTTTTTTTTTTTTTTTT